CTAGTAACTAAGATTTAAGAAAAATATTTAACGTATTTTCTCATTAGAAATTGATAGACGAGTCAATCAAATTTTATTTGTATAGCACATTTCAGCAGCAAGGCATTTCAAAGTGCTTTACATGATAAACATAAACACAGTCATGAAACGTAGAATCAACCATCAAAACATGACATTAAGTCAATTTCCGTCATTAAATTTATAATTGATTACATTTCAAATCCAACTCTCAACGGGTGTGTTTTTAGTCGAGATTTAAAGGAAGTCAGTGTTTCAGCTGTTTCACAGTTTTCTGGAAGTTTGATCCAAATTTGTGGTGCATAGAAGCTGAAAGCTGCTTCTCCTCGTTTGGTTCTGGGGTTGCAGAGCAGAACCAGAAGACCTGAGGGGTCTGGAAGATTGATGAGGCAACAGCAGATCTTTAATGTATCGTGATGCTAAACCGTTCAGTGATTTATAAACTAACAGTATTTTAAAGGCTATTCTATGACAACCAGTGTAGGGACTTTAAAACTGGTGCTATGTTCTCCATCTTTCTGGTTTTAGTGAGAACGCGAGCAGCAGCTTCTGGATCAGCTGCAGCTGTTTGACTGATTTGTTGGACAGGCCTGTGAAGACGCTGCTGCAGTAATCAATGCCACTGAAGATGAACGCATGGATGAGTTTACGTAGATAAACACAGCATTGGAAGGAAGATCATAAATAGCTTTCAGTGCGTTTATAGAAATAAAAATAAAGTGTGGCATATAATTGTATTGAGCCGTGAAAACCCAAAATAAAATCCAGACTTCACATTTATGTAATTTAATCTCAGTAAATATACACCTACACCTCTAAATCTGGTAATTTGCTGACAGGAAAAATAACTGAACACACCAGCCCCACCTTAAAACACGGAGGTGACAGTGTCATGCTGCAGTGGAAGAGGGAAGCTGGTGAGAGTTGATGTAAAAGCTGAAGCAGTAACATGCAAGACAATGTAGAGGCTCAAGGTTCACCTTCCTGTATTTGCCATAATCAATGTTAATCTGTCATATAAATTCCCAATAAACACTTTTGCAGGGTATTAAAAAAAAAGAACTATTTGTCTTCAGAATGTCAGTTCAGATCTCCAAGTCATCCAGCCAACAAGTAGATGTGTATTTCATATCTACATTCATATTGGACATTTATATGTCGCCGTTATTTCTATTGAGTACATTTTTGCTCTTCCATTTCTGCCACCCGTTAACCTGAAGCAGAGTGACTGACATGCAAACTGCTTTCCTTGTCAGCAGGGTGAAGCAAATCGTCCTCCATCACATTGGATGAAGGTAATTGTAACGAAGTCGACATTTACCCAGCCTCCCGTCACACCCAGTGTTGACAGAGCTGCAGTTCCCAAATAAATAAAAAAACACCAGCAGGGACACACAAAGGAGCTGGATTGCCGATTCATCTGTTAGGCTTAGATTGCATCTCAGTCTTAGTCTCATACACAAAATAACCCACCACACCGTACGTATGGGTCCTGACAGGTCCGGGATGCGTTTAACCGAGTGCTCTGGGGGTGCAGCTAATAAAAGGACGACGTTCTGTGTAACTTGTGCTTTGCAGGACACGTGTTTCTTTCTGTTTTTTTCGTCCTTTTTTTTCAGCAGGGGAATATTTGGAGCTTAGTTTTCCACTGTTTTTGTTTATCCGCGAAAGCGTATCCTCCCAGTTACAGGTTTCCATTATTAACCTGGAGCAGAAAGTTAACAAAAAAAAAAAACATGTTTTCAGAGCTGCACAACAACGCTCTGAATCCTAGTGGCATTTTCTTTACGATGAAATCCTGAAGATGTGACATGTTGATGCAGAAAGTTTCAGTTCAGTCGAAATTCAGAAATGAAAAAGTGCAGTAGCTTTTTAGAAACATAACACTTGTCGAGTCCTTTTCATTCATGACCCTTCACAGAGGTAATAACTTGGTTGATCACTCATTCGGGTTCTTCAAAAACTTCTCAGTTTCCCAGAAATTGTGGCAACTGAATAGTATACGCACGATGCATCATTAAGCGGCTATAAATAGCTCGGCGGTGTTGTCTTGTGGTGCGACAGTTGGCCACATCCTGTTTCTAAAATTCTCACATTGGTGACAGAGTACGAAGATGACAACACAGAGGCCAGTGTTTTACCTTCAGCAGCTCTTTGTGACACCTTGTGTTTTTTTTTTGTTGTTTTTTTTCTCAGAACGGAACATTGCCCTGCATGTCGACGGAAAATATTAGTTGAGAAAGCTTTAAAATAGCGCCACAGTTAATACGTGGGTGGACAGGACGTCACTTAAAAAAAAATTTGAAAGAGAGCAACAATATTTGCAGCGAAGAAAATGAAAGGGAACATTTATGTCTTTTATTTTATTTTATTTTTTTATGCTGCCAAGTTGTTGGGTTTTCCCAGCCCTCGTGCAGAATTACCTGGAGCTGTTTTCTCACCTCTGCAAACAGAGCCGAGCAGCAGCGGCATTAACGCTGGATCATTTCATTGTTGCATGTGCTTGTTACATCCTTTATGTCCTGTAATGGTGGAGCTAAAAATAACCTCCGCGTGTAAATGCCTGCTTAGCCTCGGAGTGGAACAGGGTTGAAAACAGCCAGCGGTGTTGGCACAGGTTGGATTTTTCCGAAGGGAGTTCCTCTGTTGAGGGAGGTGAGCCCCGACCAACCTGAGTGTATGCGTGTGTGTGAGAGCGTGTGAGCAGGATGGTGTTTGCATTCAAAGCGCAGGGCATGAGATTGAAAGTTTGTGACCTTTCTTTTAGATGTTTCAGATTGCGTCCATCCATCCCTCCTAGCAGGCTTCGTTTGGAGCTATGTACCTCGCACCGCAAAAACACAAAATCTTACCAAGTGTTTCTGGTCTAGTTTCTAGTGCACATTTCTTAGTGCATTTAGAAACAAGACAAAAACTAATAGATAACCTTTCAGTAAGATACAGGAACTAGTTTTAAGTCAATAATTTCTCAATGCTGATGAAAAAGTGCTATATCCATTGGCAGATGATTTCACTTAAAATGTCGGAAAAATATCTAGAAGTGAAATTTTTTGCAGATGAAACGCTTATTTCAAGTCATTACACTTGAAATAAGTTTTTACATACAAATCGCCGGAGTACAACAAGCTGCAGTACATTTTTGTGTGTTCAGGCTGAACCCACGGAGCCTCAGGCTGGGTTTGTGTTGTTTTCGTCTAGAAATGCGCTGAGGCCTCGCCGTTCTCCCAACCCTATCTGTTGATAAACTGCCAGGCCTCCTTTGAACATCGAGGTGGGCGGACTTCCTGTCGCTGGTCTCGCCCGTCTCGTTTTTCTCTCTCGGAGTCCGCTTCAGTCGCAGTTATCGCCCCAGAGGCTGTACGGAGCTCCCCTGTTTGCAGGGTCTCGGGGTCCTCGCCATCTTTCTCCAGTCACTTCCCTCTGTTTTGCCAAAGAAGACAGCAGATAAACCGGGGAGGGAGGGCACTGATCCCTGCGCCGCCCCGACCGTGGGAAAAGCGCGGATACAGGAACCGGTGGCAGGAAAGACAAGACGGCGGCGTGAAAACACAGATGTGTGTGCGAGGCCGATACGCGTTCGATATGTTTGGACTGCAGCTACTGATATCAGTGTATTTGTCTGCTTGGTGGTGACTGTGCCATTGCGGCGCGGTGTCACTGTTACACATTATGTAAACACACCCAGTCAAAATGAATGGCATTGCGTAGTAACATTTACTGTTAATGCTGTTGGGAAGAAATCCTTTGTCCAATTCCAATGGCTGGATTAACTTGTTTCAACCAAAAATGTTTTGATTTCAATTTCATTTAAAGTCACTTGTACCATTCTCAACAATCAATGATCGACATAACGGCAGTCTTTATCATAATCTTTACACTTTTAGAAGTTGACCTGAACAAATAAACTAATTTCATGTGTCAGTTTAATAAAAGATGACAGATGTGTTAGCCTATCATTCTTGGCGTTCCACAGGGCTTGATGTCTGCACCACTTTTCTTTAGCTTGTATGTCAATAAAACATTTTCTGTGTGGACAATGTGACGTGTTTTGTATGCACAGTATCCTAATTATTTTATCTCATGTTTGAATAGCAGAATTTGCAGACTGGTTGTCAGATGAACTGAAACAAAGATTTGTTCAAAAAGCCACAGTGCAGATCTATATTGTGGCAACTTTATCATAACAAATTATACAAATATTTTGCTTTGCATCTTCCCTTAATCTTCACATTGAAACACGTCTGAAACCAAGGTCAGTTTGGGGAATTTTAGATGTAATAAAGTTTCTGGCAAAAAAGTCTACTCTTTGATAAATTAATCTGCTATGCAAATGCTATACTTTTGAAATCTGTCTTTATACAACCATTCATTCACATCATAGATGGAAAATAATAGTAGAAAGAGGCATTAAGATGTTTTAAAGACCTACTAAAAGTCATATAGGATTATAATGTCTGTCTTGTCTTGAGGAATCTAAAAAAAACTTTGGCTTCTCCTGTCTCATCTTGTACTTTTCATATCTGTGAATAAAGCTGCAACAGAAGACTATAATGACTCAGAAAAACAAGATATAGTCTGTCTTTTCTTCATGCACATCACATGAGGATTTTTGCTTTCAAATTTGACCACAGTCTGCAGACAGTCCTCATCCTGTTACAGATTTAGTCAGTGCTCTCTGCATTACGCATTTCATTTCATTTCAGTTAATTTCTATTAACTTACCAAAAAAAAGTTTATTTCTTGTATTATCCTTTTAGCTACAATTGCATAGTCTAATAGATTTATTAAAAGTACTCATTCCATTAAGAACAGATAAACAAAAGGATGGAAGAGTTATTTATTCAGCTAACCTCAACTTTCAGGGGTTGCTTGAGGCACTAAAAACCAGAAACCTGGCCAGCATTTTAAAAATGACACAACAGTGCGAGTTCTCATTAACTGTGATTTTTAACGATCCTTTTGTTTCTCTTTTGTCTCGACAGTGAACGAGATCATCAGGAACGACCTCTCCAGCATTTCTGTGCACACTCACGCGTAGACGTCCACATGTCTTCTGCTGTAGCACATCTCCGCACACACACAGACACACACACACTGCAGGAGCAACATCAGCCGAGGGATGACACACACATGGACACACACACAAAAAAAGAAAGCCAGAGGTCCAGAAAAATGAAGAAAAGAAGCTTTGACGAAGATCTCCTGCCTGGGTGTTTAAACTCAGAAAGCGGCTGCAGACTCAAACCAACAATCACCGGCGAGCTCTGTTTGAATAAACAAGGTGAATGTCGTATCGAAGAAGAAAAAATTTAAAAGTTTAAAAAAAAAAATTTAAAAACGAAGAAAAGCAAGGGAAGTGATATCAGGGGCAAAGTATGTGACTACACTTGCCTTAATTCACAGCAGATGTTCTATTAGTGGACCAAGCGGTTCAAGAAGACTGAATCGCTCCTCTTAAAATGACAATCTTCATCTCAAGTTGGCGTTAATGCACAGACAGGAGAGCTGGGCGGTGTCGGCCCCGTTACTTTGACTCATTCAGCAACAACCAAACTGGTGCCTTACAGTCCTGTCAAAACAGCAGCCGCAGTCATGTGCAGATGGTTCACCAAAGCCCAAAGCAGAAGTTTTTATATGTCATTTTTTTATACATATATATCTCATTTCAATGATTTGTTTACAGAGGAACAGAGCAAAATGTTCTGAAACACTTCGGGCGTATGTGAATACATGGTAATCACTTTTTACTTGCTTTCCTGTTATTATTATTATTATTATTCCTAATATCTTCTTTTCCATGTACGCTGAATGTTATGTATTATAATTCTTTTGTATAAACATATCTGGTTAAAAAAAAAAAACTAACTAAAATGTATGCCTTATCCGTGTATCATGAACATTTCTCCCTTTTTTTTATTTTCAGTTTCTCATTTTGCTTTTCACCTTAGTGCCTTTATGTTTTTCAAACGCAACGTTCCTCCGTCTTCCAGCCCTCGTCCCCAGATCACGTCATACCGATGTGAAGACAATCAGAGAACACAAAGTGCAAATCTCCCAACGACCAAAGTTCCCGATTAGCAGGAGCTTATATGTAGGAATTGACCTTTTTTCGAGCAACGAGTTAGCTGAACAACGGTATGCTTACCTGCGAAATTAGAAGACTTCTTGCACTGCAGGCGTGCCTGTAAATAGACTAAGGGATATTGTTTTTGTTTTGATAAGTGAACCACAGGCTCAGTTCTGTTCATCATCTTAGAGAGGAGTTGGCTGGACTGTTACTTATTTTAGAAGGTGGCAATAATTGATCTTTGTCAACCAAAGGATTTTATCTTTGGTGAAGTTATTGACCAAATTCTTTTATTTTTTTTTCTCTCTGTATGATTCTCGTACATCAAATATTATGCACTTTGCAGCAGACTTTCTTTCCTTCAGACCAAATATTGTGAGTGATTCCCTCTGCTGCGTCACATATCAACTCTCGTCTGTAGCCCTTTTCCCCCTCGCGTTATCCGTCTCACGGCGCATGCACTCCATGATGTTGCTGGGAATCATTTAGCTGATCGTAGCTTCCAGAATAGCTTTCCCCTACGCATTTGTGGACATACTATGTATTAGCATGACTAAACTGTAAGGATAAGGTTTCTATTTCGTGCCTTACGCTCTTCCATGGCTTAAAAAAAAAAGGTTGCATCTGTGTAAAGCTCCCCTCTAAAGGCACAAGGTGAAACATTTCTCTTTAATATGACATATTTATGAAAGAAAAAATGGAATTTGTTTAAAGTGATTTTAATGAATATGTTCTCTAAAAATTAATGAATAAATCACACAATGGTGACCAAAAAGACAATGCTCTGGTGTCTTTAATACTTCGGCAAGCATGTAGTCATATTTGTGGGGTGCATTGCAAAAAAAAAAAGTCTTCAACCCCAAAGTCCTGACAAAAGTTGGGTCACAGGTATACTGGTTTTGGTTTTCAATCCAGAATAGGAATCACGCAGCAATATTGTATCTACTGTATGGCACAGGAGAAAAACAGGCAGGCGAGGAGATTGCTGCCCCCTTTTCCTTGAAATGAACTCTTCTGTAAACAGAGTTAAATGTGTAGAACCGCTCAGCTTATAGTTACACAAGTCAGTATGACTTGATTGAAATGGACGAACAGATTATGCCTCTTATGGTACAGCAACAAAATCTTAAATAGAAAATTTAAAGGACTTTAATTATTACAACTTTAAACATGTGTTTTAGTTGGAGCAACTAAAACACAAAAAAGAAATGTCAACAACAACAAAACAAGGCACAGTCATGCCAGTATCTAGTGAATTTTTAGTGGACTCATTTCACCTCAAATGTCACACCTCCAGCTCGTCTCTGACATTAGTCATGCGCAAGCTATAAAACCCACATATTTCCTATTGCAAGATGACTACTCTGTCTATAAGGACAGAAATTACTTTCTTTGGTCAAAGTGTGAACTCAGCAAGAAAGAGGCTGATGCCAAGCAAACCAAACAGTTTTTAAAACTGTTCACAACCCAGTAACATGAAGATTATTGCCCATCATAATATCATCGTCTCATTACCACCTGCGAAAGACATTAATTGGAACCTGTTTGATCAGTACAGCAAGCTAACTAGCTGGCTAGTTTGTAAAGAATGGTCAGGCTCCTAATAGCGTCTCTACAACGGGATGTGAAATTAAGTTTTTTGGCTATACGAAAAGAGCCCAAAACCAAGGCTCTTTATTCAAACTTATTTCGTTATATCTTTCTGACCTTAAAACATTTGGTTCATAGCTTCATATGTTAATTTGCCTCTGCTAGCGTCACTGCGCCCCATAACACAAGGCATGCTTGTTTTGCGGTGAGGATCTCTACCAGGCGGTGGCTGCGTATGAAGCGGCTCCTCGCCATGGGAGCTGCCATGCTCCTGTGTACCACCTGCCAGTCTTACAGACTTTTTCCATCCAGCAAAGTTATGAGGCTCCCATGGCGACAGAAGGCAGGCCTAGGCAGTACGTCTGTACATGATCTCTGCGTTCCCAAAAATAGACCCACTATTTACAAATGCGGACACGCCCCTTTTTCCTGGCACATGGTCCTTTTTTTTTTCCTATTTCTTCACCTCAGGCTGCCTATCGCAGGGTCACCACTGGTGAAGAGGAAATGGCTAAGGGCGACGGTTTTCCCCATCAAATGGCAGCCGACAAGAAAAGGCTCCAGGTCTTCAGCGGATTACAGAATAGTCCACCATTTATTTGGGAAATTTCTAAAAAACACAACTTGTGGATTCTGAGCATTTTAATGCTTGATCTAAATAAAACTTTACACTCTAAAGTAGATTACCCATCTGAGACTTTTCACAAACACAATGCCCTGCTTTATCATCACTTCTTTCCTCATTTTAAATGACTGATTCTTAGCATATTTTTTTTAAATAATGCCTCTGTCCCTTTTTCAGATACAGCAATACAAATAATTTTTTTGTGAAACACTCAATGAATTTTGCTGTAATAAGATTTTGAAGCCGAATTTCATCTACTTAAAAAAAAGAAAAAGTTATTTATGTCTGGATGTTTTTGGATCTCTTGGTTCCTGTGTAGAAAATTCATCTCAGGGAAACAGCCAACAACAAGCACTTCCAAACACTTCTTATCTGAAGTTTAAAAGTTTGACTGCATTTCAAAATGTTGGAAAAATAACATATTTTTTCAAATGAAAATTTGTGAGAAAAACAACCTCCAGTCCACAAGCATCCTCATTCCACACACGTTCACTTAAATTCTCACTTTATGACACACGTTCACATTATTTATCGACTGTATCTAAGAATATCAAATACATTTTGAATTTAACTGAAGATATGAAACAATACATAACATACAATGACTTAATTCGTATTGTACAGACCAGGTCATCATATCAGTCTGCAAACACCGTTGCCTGTAGGGATTTTTAATGCCCAGCAGGTGTCAGTATTGAGTGACGACACCGTATCGATACAGTCGAAATGCTTCAAACACCTTGCTGCGTTTTAGAACTACCATTTCTTCATTAGGTTCAGTGAAGACTCAACCTGACAAACTGGGGCACAATGTTGACCCCAGTTTGTCGAGGGTCGACTTGGCTGAAACTCTTCAACATTTGTCCTAAAACCAAAAATCAAGCATTTGGGATTATTTATGCAAGACTTGTACTTTATTCCTTTAAAAAAATAATTAAAATCTGATCATTATTCGCTGCTAATCAGCTACTCACAACATCTTATCTTTGGTAACTACCACAGACTGTGGCTTTTCCTCCCAGAGGTCTACAGTACAAACCCACCTGGCAGAGGGCATGACTTAACACTTTAATTGTACACATTTATAGAGTCTTTACTGTCTCACTTCCTCCATTGTGTTCCCACAGCGGCCTGGATTTGGGCTTGTATAAAGGCAGCGGGTTAGGTACGGCCCCCTCTGATCGGTCATCTGCAGCCAGTAAATCCGGCTCTGTTACGAAGGGCATGGGGAGAAAACTCACGGCGGTGTTTTTATTTTATTTTATTTTTTTATTAAAGAGACCTTTTAAGAGATAATTGCTTGACCATACCGGAGAACCTGTGATAGTTCTGCCTCATAAGTGATCTATGTGGGTCCCTCGCGCCGGCTGTTTTTTTTTTTTTTTTTGGTGATTTCTTTATTCTACAGAAACATATGTCAGACGGCCATAAACAGACCTTCTTATCAGCTTACCTTTGAGAAGTAGACGAGGACCATATGTGTCGGGAGGTTGCCCGAGCGCGTGCTCACGCGTTTCTTTCATCTGTTCGGCTACAGCCGAACCGAACCGAGGCGGGAGCTTAGCAGAGCAGGTGTCCGCGCGCGCCACTTTTATTGGGCCAATTCCCGCGCGCGACAAGTTGAGCCGACGACGACGTGCTGACAGTGTCACGTCGTTTTTTGGGTTTTTTTTTCTATACAGACAGTTTAAGAGTCGAATCAGAAACGGCAACCAGATGGCGCCCCGGAAAATGCCGTGCCGACTTTTATTTTCTCATCCGCAGTTATTCGGCTTGAGTCACTTTTTTTTTCTTCTTTTTCCGCATGAAAATATTAAGCAAGGATTTATATGAGTCACAGATCGGACGGGAGTGCGG